CTACCCTTGCCACATCATTTCTTGACTGTGGGGCTACCTTGCGTAGATCACGAGTTGTGCCCCTTGTAATAAAAATGTGATACACAAATCAGATCGCTGTTCTAAACTCGTACAGGCTTCAAAGGTGGTGACAACCATGGACAAAAACAACAAAAACCTGAGGGATTTCATCCCTGAAGGATAAACAAAGGCAATCGTTGTGTGGCTAAAAAGATGGAAAAGACATACCGTATTCGACGTAATAAGCACCCACAGCGATAGTTGCTAATTTATTGGTGAACAATCCCAATTAGCACCCCTTCCGATTGATCAATGTACCCAAGACTTATTTATTCATTCATATTCACTCGTGTGTTATATGCACTCTTAATTATGATCAATTAAATTAAAAAATATATCTGTCGTATATAAACAGTCAGGCCGTCAGCATAAACCACGAAATTTATCTTTCAACTCTGTTTTTACCACCAAAATTATATTCTAATAAGAGCCCCCCATTTCTTATTTTGAGAGCGCCCTGGGCGCTTATTACGTCGAATACGGTATTCATGTCATCAAAGACAGGCACAGGTAAATCACTTTCATATGAATGTGCAACAGCTCTGGGAATGACTGTTCTCATCATCACACCACTTACAAGCACAGAACTGGGGCGACTTGATTGCTTGGCAAGACTATATGACGACGGTCTGTAAATCATCGAGTCTGGACAAGACAATCCAGTGATTGACATCATGCACATCGATCCACGCAATTGGGATCAATGACATGCATCAACCAAGTCAGCGAGTCTGACCATCGGATCGTGTTAGTCGCTTAGTTGCCTCTTACGACAAGCATGGGTTGCTGAAGACCTATTCTACCCCAGATATTCACGGGTCGGTAGAATAGGTCTTTAGCAACCCATGCTCGTTGTAAGAGGCAACTAATGGGATCGGGTGGTCAGGCTCACTGACTTGGTTGATGCATGTCATTGTATCCCAAGTGCATGAATCAATGCTCATGATGTCAATCACTGGATTGTCTGGTCCAGACAGAATTAATTTCAGACCGCTGTCAGATAGCTGGAACATTGCTGAGTGCAGCGTCAAACAGTGAACAACTGAAAACCCTTTCGTGCAATTTCGACAAGCTATGGCATTTTGATCCATTACAGACTGTTTAAGTAGCTCTTATTTATACCAAGTTGTTGGCCAAAATATTTATAATTGATATGAAACAAAAGAATGTTTAGCCTGTATGGACAGTCAGAAGAGAACTACACAAAGATCACTTCATCCATAAGGCAGTTCTCTTTGATAAAGTCAAACACACTATTGAGCCACAAAATCCAGTTTTCCCTGACAAAGGGCAATTTTCCCTTACTAAAACTCAAATTTAACAAACGTTATATCTGGGATAACACTTGTTTAGTAAAGCAAAAATTCTAGGACTTTTGGAGGGTGAGTCTCATCCGGGATTCAAACCCACACTCTGAGAGTGAGGCACCTAAAAGCCACCAGACGTAGTCAGCCATCTAATCCACACAGCCACTGACTGAAAGACATATTCCCTGACTTTACTGACCTTAAAAATATGTCTTTCCCTGACTTTCCCCTGACCTGTGGCTACCCTGTAAATGTATTACCCATGACTAGAAGGATACCTCATAGTTTATTGATCTTGATTAACTCCACATGATTCTTTTCTTCCAATCACTTCAACTGTGTTTACTTCACCACACTCCAATACACGTAACTTCATCAAAAATTAATCACACAAAATATGATATACAAATACAAGTTGAGTGGTGATTTGCTGTGAGTAACTTGCTATCAATGGAATCACTTATGCACAGGAGCTTATTTTGTCACTCATATCGTTGCAAACTTGTGTGAAAATATTCTTCAAATAAACATATACATACTGAACTACTTCGTTGATCACTGCACATCTGGTGCTAAGGAGATAAACATGTGTTTTGAGGTTTGCATGTCTTTTTTTAGCATTCAATACACAGAATTTTATTTTTACTTAATATTTTACTAGTGTGATACCCTTTTCACCAAGACAAATATAGTATTATTTTTTTTCAAATTTGGGATTGAGAAAAAAATAACGCATACATCAAGTATATGGTACACATCAAATAAAGAAATACCATGGTGTATAAAAGAAGTTATCATACCTCCATGTCAAAATGATGAAATCTGATGTGTCCATGTGATCATGATAAAATACTGATTAACCCACCTTGGAGGGGAATAAATTTCTCAGCAGGGAAATAAATCTCTTATACCCCACCACAAGCAAATGAGGCTGCACGTGGATTTCTGAGAGACAGAATATACTTCAAAGCAAGAAGCCTCATGCTTTTTCCGAGTCAGTGGAAGTCACGTAACATAGCGCAAGCTAACCTCAGCTCAATCGAACAGCTGTTGTCTGCACGCGTAAATACCCAATGAAGCTTTTTCAGCATGCGTACAAAGGAGCTTAATTTCTGAAACACAATTATGAGTGAATTTACTTTCCAAGTCAATCCTATATTTAGAACCGTAATATGTACATCTAAAACATTATTTCATTTTTTTTTAATGCTTACTCATTTTGAGAAAACTCAATAGTCATGAATAGATGAGTGAAAAAATATTGGTTACCCAATGAAAAATGTAATAACCAAATTAAAATAGAAACCCTAGAGCAAAAACTCAATGGCTCAAAAAGTTATCTGGAGCTCTGAATATTCCCAACAATTTCACAAGTAATAGGTTACCATGGTTACTGGACCCATATCGAGGCCAATCAAAAGATCTGCTGAAATATCTCAACACCTCTTTTCAAAACGCATTGTCAGCAACAGGGTGTCATTTTCAGCCGAATGATTGCTCACATACACATAACAAAACAGCCATAAATTCTTGTGACAAACCGATCATAGGGAACAGGTAAAGGAAATCACACTACTGTTTAGGCGTTGCCTGATTCAACAAGGTAACTTGAACACTACTGTCGTAACACATACCATGACACAGTCATATAATAGGAGCTGGAAACTGAAACTCTTCTTATCCTGAGTATCATTGTTCATGTATGTGATCACGATACTGTAAATACTGTAATAATATCCAAACCCTGTCCAGTAGAGGGTATGCTTTCAGACCACAGCCATATTCACCAATGTCTCAGTAGGACACCAGTATCGGTAAGCCAGTATCATTGTTCATGTATGTGATCACGATACTGTAAATACTGTAATAATATCCAAACCCTGTCCAGTAGAGGGTATGCTTTCAGACCACAGCCATATTCACCAATGTCTCAGTAGGACACCAGTATCGGTAAGCCAGTATCATTGTTCATGTATGTGATCACGATACTGTAAATACTGTAATAATATCCAAACCCTGTCCAGTAGAGGGTATGCTTTCAGACCACAGCCATATTCACCAATGTCTCAGTAGGACACCAGTATCGGTAAGCCAGTATCATTGTTCATGTATGTGATCACGATACTGTAAATACTGTAATAATATCCAAACCCTGTCCAGTAGAGGGTATGCTTTCAGACCACAGCCATATTCACCAATGTCACAGTAGGACACCAGGAATGGCAGCGGTAGAAACTCACAGCTTTAGTCCACTAGTCCCACTAACCTTTTCTACATTAAATCACTGATTTTTGGCATGAAACATTTGTATGAAACAATTTATTTTTTCTCACTATGATCAAAACATTCAAGTATATTTCCATGAAAGTTTAACATACCTGACACCTGTTGCGTACCATGGTACAACATTCAGAAATCTACGACAAACATATAAATACATCCCTGATTGTCTCGTGTGTCAGATCTGTATTCTGTACTGCTAAACACCCTGGTCCCATTCTCCCATGTAGATTCCTATTCAATCCAGCTTCGAATGACACAATGTAACGGTAAGCCCTCCAACCACATAACCATGATGGGACCTGTGCAGTAGCGACATCTCATTGTTAGCACTGTCACAAATACAGCAAATACCACATGGTAGCATATATATTAATTTCCTTCTCATCCTAATTCTCAGAAAACCACTTTTTTCCAACTAAAGGTCAATTTATGGCAGTCTTGTGATTCCTTGTAAACTACACAAGAATCTCTTGTACCAGGTTGTTATATTTTTAGGTGATGATATCTAGGATAATCTGAAAAGTTCTGAAAAGTAATTTTGATAGATTGTTGATGATATTAACTTCCATTTAGCTTAGAGTAAAAAAAAGATTGCATGCATCCATACAGTATTGTTGATGTAATTTAGGTCTACATACCTGCATCATTCTGCTCTACGTGAAGCTGACGTGCCATGATATAACTGGAATACTGTTCAAAGCAGCATTTAACGACCTCACTCACTCAACTTCCTATATTTCCCCTCCTCTCAGATGGAAAATAGAAAATCTAACACTTGTTTAAAAAATTCAGTTTGAGAGAAACGGACCCACACTCATGTAATATCTTGATGCATCATTTTCCATCTACACAATTGCGATATGTCCGTAATATTGCCAAAGTTATGTAACAACTTAACTCACTCTATCCACACACACACAAAAAAACAACTTTTGTTGAGGTCATAGTTATCAACTCAGTGATCATATCATAAAGCAATTTCTTTCTTGAATGATTTATCAACAGTCTACAAGCATCACATTAAATTGTTGAAAGTTAATCAGTTCTGGAATCATTCTAACTATGCAAAATCTGATACCAATGTGACGGTGGATTCATATACAGTATCATCAATGACATCATAGCTGGAGTCAGCTCTCACGCCTTACTTATTTCAGTTAGAATTACATGATTTTTGAAAGTTTCAAGAACTGATTACTTTTTTCAAAAGAGGTTTACATATATTCTCTCCCAGTAACTGAATTAGTTGTAAGGGAAGTATATTTTGTCAACTCTTAAAAACTTACTTCCCGGTTTAGAAACATAATACTTAAATCACTACTGAAATGTTATTTATTATAATATACATACCCGTTCCCTGTTAATGAAAGGCTAGTGACATCTGGCAAATGCCATGCCAAGATATCGCGGACACTTTGACAGAGGGGGCACCTGTCGTCGTCGTCCGAACGGTTCTCGTACAACTTGACACAATGATACAATGGCAGAAAATTATTCCAAGTAATGGGCTGATGAAGGTCACACGAAAAAAACACTCATTTCGACAACTTGTTAAATATGCACACAGTGTCACAAGCGTCCAGTAACCTTCCTAATAAGACGAAGTTACAAGTTAATTTGTATCAGTGGTAACATCATATTGACAGAGCCCGGATACGTCACGACCAATGAACGCGCGCCTGTGAAACGGGAAGTTCAAAGTCGAGAGTGATCGCGTTTCAGTGCCAAAGGGAGTTAATTCACATTACTTGTTGCAAATAAATCACACACTGTCTTCTTGATCAATTTACATTTTTTTCATATTTAACCCATTAAATTGTGAAAGAGGAATATTTAATCTTTTCGCTGTATTTAGTTTACATATGTTCAAATCAGTTACACAATTATGTATGGGAGTGAATATATCTAGGATGAATTGTTTGGAAATCGAAATATAAATTAGAAATAAATATTGACCTACCTATCCAATTAATCTTTTTAAAGTAATGAGAAACGAGATTTTTCGTGATGTGTCATAGCTAAGACGTCTTATGTCGCACACAAAGTTGTCTGTTGGCATAAATATGTCGAATCTCTAGGTACATGGTGATATTGTTAAGCGTTTAAAGTTATTCTAATTAATCGACACGTGGACTATGTCTTATGTAGCAGCAGTTCACATGAGACATAGTGTACTCTGTATTTTATGTACGCTTCGGCTGTAGATAGGCCAGGTAACGTTTGAATGGCCTCACACGACAGCCCCAGAATGTTTCAGCCCCAGAATTTCTTCACGGGTGTTTAGCAAACTGATGATATATAGTTATGACATTAATATGCGATCTCCAGTTGTCGATCGGATGGTAGCATGAACTTAACGTCCACTAACACAGGGATGTAATATATACTGCTGGAAACAAATAAGGGAACAATAAATTATATATAGGGAAATAAGCTCTAGCTACTGTCAGTACATTTGAAACAGCGCGCATACAAAGTCAACATACATGTATGTCAGAATCCAATGTTGAGATGTGTTTGTATGCATTGCTTTCAACGTGTATTTGGCAGACCAGGCTGGGACCCCGTGATATCATTACATTTTACTGTGTCTAAAAACTGAGTGTTGCTTTTTTTTCATTTAAGACTCGGGCGCATATTGCGTATTTTTTCCCGTGCCATTCATTGGGATCTTGAAGCGGTGTAAACCATTACCCAACACAAGCTTAAGCATGTTGATGTACATTCTCTGCATAGTTACAATACTGTATGGGTTTCAATATGGCGTCGCAAATTTCTTATCTAAAAATATTCACCCGGACTTGTTCGGGCATTTACTGCGGTTATATTTGTAACGGATGATTCGCAAGATAAGGTCTGATATGAGACGATCCACATTAAACTGGTTTTATTGTCTGGTTGAGAGGGTCTATTAGCAAAGAGGGGTAAAGCACACTGTTAAACCTGTAGAGATTATTTATTCATGCCTTGTCCAACAGGTTTACTGCAAATTGTTTAGACCTGAAGCTATTTTCGTGACTTCTCGTGTAACGGGAAGGGGCCAGTGGTGCCGAATGCCGAGTTGAATGTATACTGAAAATCAAAAGACCTGATTGTAGAAGTGGGAGCCTTGACACTGGTTTGTGCATAATAATCTGTTCTTTGTGAACACATTACATTTGTAGATTATGTCCAGGAACAGAAGAACAGGCAGCGAAGTGAAATTGAAGGGGTGCGTGGTGGGTGTGTTTGTGTGTGCTACAGCAAGTTACAGAACACAAGTCTTTTCAGGGTGGCGATTAGACCTGCGGCCTGTTAGCGGTGACGCGCAGTCCCCTCCAGATTTACATTTAGTCCCAGAAATATAGTTTTCTTCTTTGATATAAATATAATCAAAAAGAAGCCCAGAATAATGCTTCATTAGACACTGATCAGGTCCGATCGTTGGGCACACACTCACTATCTGAGAGTTCTGTCAGTCCGTCGGTATTTTGCTGACGACCTGGTTATTGTCACGTGGTCACAGACACTGGTTGCCTGGCAACGGCACGAGTTGACAATATCTTTAGTGCCTTTCCCCGTTCATCAGGGAACAGGGGCGGTCGCGTGGCCTTGTGGTTAAAGCGTTCGTCGTCACGCCGAAGACCCGGGTTCGATTCCAGACACCGACATGGGTACAATGTGTGAAGCCCATTTCTGGTGCATTTATGCCAAATAATGCATATGGTGAGTTTCTTTATCCGTTCAGTATATGTTGGACCATGTTATAGGATGTCCTCATAGCATGGACCTTAAAATATATTCCGTAACCTATAAATATGCAGGTCATTCAGCGTTTCCCGAAATTATATATATTGGTATATATAAATGGGAACCATCATCGTACTCTGACGGCGGAGATCGTCGCTCATTCTATCAACCACTGGTTTGCTTGGACCAAATGTAATTATTAACTGACTGCCGTTATGCACATGCTGAAACTAAACTGCCGATCAAAAGAAAGTATGCACTTTGAAAAATGGGATTTGACCTAGAAAATACGAACCTAATCTAAACGTCACTATAGACTGTCAACGAAACACTACACATTTCGGTCCAAAACACAACTACGATGCCCCTATCAAGCACATGACCATGTAATAACCGTTTCATGTTTATTTCCAATGATTGCACGTGAAGCAGCATATCAGAGCAAACAAAATATGCATTTTCAATAAAGCGACAAAACCTTTTTCCATGTTCAGAGGTGAGATGAAATGGCGTTTAACGTCGCGTTCAAGATTATTGCACTTATATAGTAACGTTCATGCACGCGTGTGCCCACTGTGATACCTTGCCGCAGTTTAACATGAATACTCTACTCAAACACAAAACACTGACTCCGAGCCGACCAGTCCTTGTTTAAGCCCCTTAACTCCGAGCGCCAGGCAGGGTAGCAACACTATTTGACAAGGTCAGCGTCATCGAAAAGATGCATGATATTGTTTTATGGTGTAAGATACCAAGTGATTTCCTGCATGTTAACGATGACCTTATCCTAGGAACTGTGTATATACCACCAGAGCAAAGTAGATTTCATTCACCGGAAATATTTACAACACTAGAAAATGATATCATTCGTATGTCAAACTGCTCACAGTACATGTGTATTGTTGGTGATATGAATTGTCGTACTAAAAATCTTCCGGATTTTATCATTTTGGACGAATATTTATGTGAATGATATTATTGACGAGGAATTATTGTTTTCAAATGTACAACTTCTAGTTGACACCGGTGTAAAGTTAGATAGAATATCAATGGATACTGAAACAAACTGTAACGGGTATAAACTCCTGGATTTATGTAAAAATAACGGGCTGTATATTGTGAATGGAAGATTAGGCAAAGACAAGGGTATTGGTAAACTGACATGCAGAAATGCCAGTGTTGTCGATTATTGTATTGCATCAGCAGAAACATTCCCATTATTAATAGATTTTGAGGTACAGGAGTTTGACCCGATCTCGTCCGATGTACACTGTGGCTTATCGTTAACGTTAGATTGTACAGCACAACAACTATCTCCAGCTATAGATGATGACAAGGATGTACACTGTGGCTTATCGTTAACGTTAGATTGTACATCACAACAACTATCTCCAGTTATAGATGATGACAAGGATGTACACTGTTGCTTATCGTTAACGTTAGATTGTACAGCACAACAACTATCTCCAGTTATAGATGATGACAAGGATGTACACTGTTGCTTATCGTTAACGTTAGATTGTACATCACAACAACTATCTCCAGTTATAGATGATGACAAGGATGTACACTGTTGCTTATCGTTAACGTTAGATTGTACATCACAACAACTATCTCCAGTTATAGATGATGACAAGGATGTACACTGTGGCTTATCGTTAAACTTAGATTGTACAGCACAACAACTATCTCCAGTTATAGATGATGACAAGGATGTACACTGTTGCTTATCGTTAACGTTAGATTGTACATCACAACAACTATCTCCAGTTATAGATGATGACAAGGATGTACACTGTGGCTTATCGTTAACGTTAGATTGTACATCACAACAACTATCTCCAGTTATAGATGATGACAAGGATGTACACTGTTGCTTATCGTTAACGTTAGATTGTACATCACAACAACTATCTCCAGTTATAGATGATGACAAGGATGTACACTGTGGCTTATCGTTAACGTTAGATTGTACAGCACAACAACTATCTCCAGTTATAGATGATGACAAGGATGTACATGTACATAAAGTTGTAAAAAGATGGGTTCCTGATAAAAGTGAAACATTTTTATCTAATATCGATAAGGTTGCCATTACCCACCAGTGTACAGAATTAGATGCATGTAAAGACCAAATAGAGCGAAATGACATTAACCAAATTGTAAATAAACTCTCTCAGACGCTGGTTACTGCGGCTGAAACTACTCTAGGTACTGTAAGAAATTCTAGACATTCTGTACATAAGCACAAGCATAAACCCTGGTTTGATGAAAAATGTAAATCATCACGTAGATTTTACCACATATAACCACGTATATATGGAAGGACTAAAGACAGTAATAGCAAAGCTATGTACATTTCAGCTAGTAGAGCTTATAGTAAAACCCTAAAGAAGGCATTTAAGACATATCAAAACAAATGTGTCCAACAACTGAGGGAATGTAAGGATAGTGACCCTAAGAATTTTTGGGAAATTTTAAAATCATTTGAACCAAAGAAAACAGCAGAAAAAATCAGTATTGACAATTTTTTTCAATTTTTTAAAGATCTTAATCAAAGTTCTGATGATAATGACGATGTTTTTGCCAATAACACAAATTACAATAATCATGATGATATCTTAGATTGTAGGATTACAGAAGAAGAAATTTTGTCAGCTGTCCGTGCATTGAAGAACAATAAGGCTTGTGGGTTGGATGGTATTTACAATGAGTACATTAAAAGCTCTATTCATGTTATGGTGCCGGTTTACGTAAGGCTTTTTAACCTCGTTTTTGACACTGGAGTTTTACCTGAAGCTTGGCTTGTTGGCAAAATAAAACCAATCTACAAAAACAAAGGAAACCAAGCTGACCCAGACAATTACAGAGGTATTTCTATCCTAAGCTGTTTAGGTAAATTGTTCACTACACTATTGAATAATCGTTTACAAGCTTACTCAGTTCAGACTAATCTGAT